TTTAAGAAGCTAAATGGCTTGCAAAGATATCAACATTTTCTTTTTGAAGCATCTAATCTTGGTGTGGTCAAAACTCAGGAAGTTGCTAATTGTCCTTTTACTGAATTCAATTTATTAAAAATTAAGAGAGCAGATATTTTTGAAGAAATTAAAGCTCTATCTATTTTAGTGTTAATGCCACCTCCTTTGGATTACAAAAGGCAAGAATACCTTTATCATAATATTCGCCCATTTGTGAAAGATGAATACAAAGATATTATTTGTCCAAGGCCATTCTATTCTAGCAACAGATAAAATATTCAGAATAAAACCACTTCCATGACTTTGTCCTTCATTAATTTGTCTTTTGTTGTCATTAAGTTTTAATAAGTTTAATCTTTTGACAAATATTGTTAGCTTTTTCCACTTTTTAAAAAAAAAATACTAAAATAATTTATATACTTAATATGTCCTCATAAATGTCCTCATAAAAAGGATATAAGTATATTAAAAGAATAAATAAAAAATAAAAAAAAAGGTAATAAAAAGAAAGTCATGACAAACATTATAAGTGAACTTCAAGAAAGTAATAAAAAACTGATAGAAGAAAATGAAAATTTAAAGAAGCCATTAGCAGATAAAGAAGAAAATCTTAAACTAAAAATCTGACATGTTACTGGTCAGTCTCTTGATGACAAGGGTGAAGTTGGTCTTTATGCTCCTAGGGGAACATGATGATACAAGAAGTTAAATAAGGAATGAATGGATGAAGGTAAGTTGAGAAAGGCAGTAGATCCTATGAAACCAGAGAATGAGCTAAAAACTGTAAAAGAATTTGATTCAATAACATTACCATTGAAGAGATGTTAGAAGGGTTTATTGATTATTCAAATGACTTAGCTTCAGAATATGCAGGAAGTTGGTCAAAAATCAGTGATTTAAATTCCCAAAAGTTTGAACAAAAGCAAGAATATGAAGAAAAGTTAAAAGAAAAGGAGGAACAGATTAAAGAATTAGAAGAAGCATTAGAATTAGAGGAGGAAACATCTGAATGTCATTTAGATGCCCTCGAATTGGCTAGACAGTGGAGAATAAGGCAAAACAAAGAAAAAGATGACAACTTAGAAAAAGCTTCTAGGCAAATAGAGTTGTTGGAAAAAATTGTGGCATGACAGAAATATTTGACAGACAAGCAGCTTCAAGAACTACCAGTTTTACCAAAGAAAGAAAACAAATTTAAACTCCTAACTAACAAAGTAAAGAACAAAGTTAGCCAAGTAAAAGAAATGACTTGAGAAAAATTTGAAACCTATATCTTGCAAAAGGATAAATAGCATGAAATTAGAATATCAAGTTAATGAGCTGAGGAGAGGAGATAAATGGCATTGTAATTTCTGTCCTTTTGAAA